CCACTCCACTCCAGCCTGGGCAACGAGTGCGTCTCAAAAATAAAATAAAATAAATTTATCACCATATACAATTTTATTAACTTTGTTTCATGGTACTTTGTATTTTCGTTTTAAATATATTGTAATCCCTTGTCTTACTTCCTCTTTAACTCAGAGTCATTTAAAAGTGTATTTTTGGGGCCAGGCACAGGGGCTCATGTCGGTAATCCCAGCACTTTGGGAGGCCAAGGTGGGTGGATCACAAGGTCAAGAGATCGAGACCATCCTGGCCAACACGCTGAAACCCCATCACTACTAAAAATATAAAAATTAGCCAGGCGTGGTGGCACACACCTGTAGTACTAGCTACTCGGGAGGCTGAGGCAGGAAAATCACTTGGACCCAGGAGGCAGAGGTAGAAAGTGAGCCAAGATCGCGCCATTACACTCCAGCCTGGTGACAGAGTGAGACCCTGTCTCAAAAAAAAAAAGTGTATGTTTCAACATTTAAAAAAATTTTATTGTGGTTGATTCTGATATAACTGAATTGGGTTGTCTGATCAGTTCTTTAAAGTCTGTTAACACTTTGTGATCCAGATAATAGTGTTTGTAAAAAATAAAATTCCTGATGTATTATGGACTTTAATGGGCATGATGATCTTTATTTGATTATACTTATTAATTTTATTTAGTTTTGCAAAATTAACTTTATAAATCAGTTTATAACAAAAGTATGTTAAAATTGTCTGCTATGCTTATGAATCAAATCTACAGTTCCTAATTTTTTTCATATATTTTGAGGCTATATTAAGTATATATAAATGTACAGTTGTTAAATTGTTGCATTGTTTTATGTATCTCATACATTAATGAGAATACATGTTTAATACATATGTTATACATAATTGTATATAATGTAATTATATGTTAGTGGGGATACAGAGATAATACATAAATGTGTATGATACATAAGAGATAATTCATATATATTACATATTATATATATTATACATACATAAATGTATTATCTCTGCCCCCATTAATGCTTTCTTGTTGAAAATTCTATTATTTGCTATTAATATAGCTACACTGACCTTCTTTTTGGTATTATCATTTTAAAAGTTAACTTCAAGAAAAAAATTCTGATAAAGCTAATAATGTTTAAAATAACTGACACTCAAATATCACACTGTGTCAAAAATTTATCCCTTCCCTACTGGGACAGAGACACAGTTGGTCTCGTTCTTGCTCTGTTGCCCAGGCTGGTGTACAGTGGTGTGATAGTAGCTCACTGCAGCTTGATCTCCTGAGCTGACGTGATCCACGTGGCTCAGCCTCCCAAGTAGTTGGAACAATAGGCACATGGCACCACGCGCCTGGCTTATTTTCCTTTTGGAGATGCAGTTTTGCTATATTGCCCAGGATGGTCTTGAATGATTGCTTGCCTTAAGGGATCCCTCCACCTCTGCCTCCCAAGTAGCTGGGATTTATACTTGTTTCTTTCTGTCCTCCCCAACTCCTTTTTTTTTTTTTTGAGATGCAGTCTCGCTCTGTCGCCAGGCTGGAGTGCAGCTGATGTGATCTCGGCTCACTGCAACCTCTGCCTCCCAGGTTCAAGCGATTCTCCTGCCTCAGCCTCCTGAGTAGCTGGGACTACAGGTGCATGCCACCATGCCCAGCTAATTTTTCTATTTTTAGTAGAGATGGGGTTTCACTATGTTGGCCAGGATGGTTTCAATTTCTTGACCTCGTGATCCGCCCGCCTCAGCCTCCCAAAGTGCTGGGATTACAGGTGTGAGCCACCGTGCCCATCCCTCTGTTCCCCTCTTAACTATGCTTTTCGTTGAAAATGGGTTATTCTCTGAGCAAAATTATCTGAAAGACTTGATAAGAGTATTTGTTTATTCATATTTCTCAGAATTTTCTGTGGAGTGAACATTCTGTGTTTCTGCATACCAAGCTATGCAAAGTATCAACAAAAAGGTTTTTCGTTACTTCTATTTGGTAGATATTCTTAGAGTTGGGGTATAGCTGGGGTTGGATAGAAAACCATGTTTCTGGCCCCCTCCACAAAACATCAGATTTACTAGTTTTAAGTTAGGTAAATCTAAAAAACGTATCCTTGCAGATGAGGACATTTCTTGATATGAACTTTTTCTTCTTAGTGGATATCTTAACTTATGTAGCCTGGAAGTTGAGCGCATTTCCCAAAAACCGTGTTATTGGAAGTGGTTGTAATCTGGACTCTGCTCGTTTTCGTTACTTTATTGGGCAAAGGCTTGGCATCCACTCTGAAAGCTGTCATGGGCTGATCCTTGGAGAGCATGGCGACTCAAGTGGTAAGCCTGAGGCACGATTGGAGCCTCTGCAATATCTATTTCCTACCAATCATATAGACATTTAATGCAAAGTAGCTCCTGGGAGGGGAGAAAAGACTTTATTCCACTTTAGGCCCTTTTAGTAGTAATTTTTTACTACACTTATTTTTAAAATAACAAAAAATACAGATTTGAAAAATGTGAGATTGACACTATAATCCTACAGATGGATGGCTAGGATTATAATGCTTTTCTTAAATAGAGAACTAAGTAACACGATATAGTTTGTATTTAATTTGGGACACTCTAGTTCACAAAGGTCAGCAGTGTACTTCATGTAGTAGGCATTCTTCAGATTAAGGGATGGGTATAACTGAAGAATGTAAGAGGGAAAAGAAAGAGTACTGTGGTAATAGTCTTTTTCTCCCCTCTTAGTGTCTTCTGGCTAAAAAACCTTTGAAATCTATTTAATATAAACCTTGGCTATGGAAAAAGACTTAAAGGTAGAAAAACTAAAACTTCCTAGTGGAAAGTTTAAAACTGCAATTTTCTTATTTGCAGAATCTTTGCCAAGATAATAGAATTGTGGATCCCCCTCTGTGGAGATCTGGATTTAGAATATCTGGAGTGGGGCTCAGATATCAGAACATTCCTAGTTGAAAACCACTCATAACAGTTTTGCTAAGGTCAAAAACCAAAACCCTGCTAATACTATGTTGTAAGAAGTGGGATTTTGGGTATCTCTTTCTTAGTTCCTGTGTGGAGTGGTGTGAACATTGCTGGTGTCCCTCTGAAGGATCTGAACCCAGATATAGGAACTGATAAAGATCCTGAGCGGTGGGAAAATGTCCACAAAAAAGTGATTTCCAGGTAATACACGCTAGTTTCACATTTTTAGTACCTTAGAAGTTGTGAGCCTGAACTCTGTTAGAAAGTTGAGATTAGTCCCTTAAGTGTATGTTGTTGTATTTCCCATATTTTTATTTGCACTTCTGCTTTTTTGTGTGATCATATTCACCAGATTATAAATTCTTCAACCGTCAGGGACTGATTCTATGTTGCTCATTCCTGAGCCTAACCCAGTATTGAGCACATGGTAGGGGCTCACTTGTTGACTGACAATGTATTTTTTCAAACACTTGCTATATAGTGTTTATTGTTAGTGGTGGAATTAATTCCATATTAATTTCTGCATCTCTGTACTTGTAACTCTAATGTTTAACCACCGTGGCAAGGCATGGTGGCTCATGCCTATAATCCCAGCACTTTGGGAAGCTGAGGTGGGAAGATCACGTGAGCTCAGGAGTATGAGACCAGCCTGGGCAACATAGGGAGACCCCATCTCTACGAAAAAAAAAAAAAAAAATTAGCTGAGTGTATGGTGGCTTGCTTGAGCCCAACAGGTCAAGGCGAGCTCTGATGGTGCCACTGCACTCCAGCTGAGACCCTCCCTAAAAAAAGCATACATATGGCCAGGCGTGGTGGCTCATGCCTCATGCCTCTAATCCTGCCACTTTGAGAGACCAGGGTGGGCAGACCACTTGAGGTCAGGAGTATGAAAACAGCCTGGCCAACGTGGTGAAAACCCAGCTCTACTAAAAATATAAAAATTAGCCACAAATGGTGGTGCACGCTTGTAATCCCAGCTACTCAGGAGGCTAAGGAGGGAAGACTGCTTAAACCCGGGAGGTGGAGGTTGCAGTGAGCCGAGATTGCACCACTGCCCTCCAGCCTGGGCGACAGAGCAAGACTTAAGAAAAAAATGGCATACATACTCCAAGTAGTTTCTAGGAGAAGTTGTTGATGGAGTCATTGCAGTTTTGTGGCATTGTTAGATAGGATGCTATAAAGTGGAAGTTCAATGACAAGTGGATCTTCTCAACTAACTTATGTTTATGGTTTCTTCTAACTACAGTGGCTATGAGATGGTCAAAATGAAAGGTTATACTTCTTGGGGCATTAGCCTATCTGTAGCTGATTTAACAGAAAGTATTTTGAAGAATCTCAGGAGAGTGCATCCAGTTTCTACCCTAAGTAAGGTAGGACATTCACGTTTGAAAAATCATTAATTTCAACATAAAACAGGGGTAAATAACATTTTTGAAACACTCCGGTTTTGGGTTTGATCTTGTGGAAGAACCTCTCTTCCTGAAGTCTGTTCTTTGCTGCTGAAGAGTGGGGAGATCGGGGAAAGAGTCTATCTTTATAGACCTTTGTCCTGGTCTAGCGTGACATTTCCTTTTATCAGATAAAAGTAAGTGTTTTTGCAACTTGATTATTTAACTAAGTGATCTGACTCTACTAGTATCTGGAAACACTGGGAACCACTATGGGCAGACCTTGGTACCTATGGAGTTGTTCTCTTCGTTTCGATTATGTCCAATGAAGAGATCTAGGAAAAAAGCACTAGACACAAAAGAATTAGCAGTCTCCTGGGGAGAGGGGAGTTGGGGCATGGGTGAGATCCTTCTGCTAGTCTAAATGGGAGAGGTTATAAAACAAGAGAGATCTAAATCATTGGAAATAAAGTCATAGGAATTTTGAAGTGGTCTCTTGATAGGAAGTGGTATGGAGTAAGGAGATGAGGAAAGAAGGGTGGGCCCCAGCCAACATGGCAGGAGGCTGGGGCCCATGTGGAGAGATGGTGGGTTGAAACTGAACAATAAATATGTCTAATCATGTTTTAAATTGTTCTCTGTCTTGGTACTCTGCCATAGTTTGTACTACCAATCTGTTATTCATTCACCTCACAACTGTTGTTTCTCATATTGCAGACCTTTGTTAAAAGTTAAAAAAGGAATACTTTTTAAGTCTTTACTTTCAGGGCCTCTATGGAATAAATGAAGAAATATTCCTTAGTGTCCCATGTATCCTGGGAGAGAATGGCATCACAGACCTCATAAAAGTGAAACTGACCCTTGAAGAGGAGGCCTGCTTGCAAAAGAGTGCAGAAACACTCTGGGAAATTCAGAAGGAACTCAAGTTTTAAAGTTGCTTAAAGTTACCATTCTATAGATTGAAGATGAAATAGTAGTTATGGAATTGTATATGTCAAACTTTAAAATAAATTTGAATTTCTGAAAGTTGGAAAAATAGAGGAAAGAGTGACCTATTTAGTGTAGCCTTCCAGCTTTTTTTTTTTTTGGGTGGGTCTCATTCTGTTACCCAAGCTGGAATGCAGTGGCACCATCACGGCTCACTGCAACCTTGACCTCCCGAACTCAGGTGAGCCTCCCACTTCAGCCTTCAGAGTAGGTGGGACCACATGTGTGTGCCTCCATGCCTGGCTAATTTTTGTATTTTTTTGTAGAGATGGGGTTTTGAACTCCCAAAGTGCTGTGATTACAGGGGCGAGCCACTGTGCTTGGCCTTAGCTTTGATTTAGTATCCAGATGATGGACGACACTTCTTTTTTTTTCCCCAAACAAAAGTGATGGCATCAAAGATGTTTTTGGTATCTTTTAGTACTTGCCTTGTATGTATACGTAACTGCCATCTGGTCCATGAGAATGTGTATGCTGTGTTATAGAAATCTTGATTCTTTTCATCAGGTGCATAGTAATTCTTCTCTATGGCTTAATACCTGTGTTTACATGCTATTTAATAAAAGCTTTAATTTCCTCTACAATGTAAAAATAAAAATATATATTTGCACACACACACACAAAGTAATCTAAATGTTCCTAACATTAGATAAAACCTTGATTTGACCTTGCTGGTTTTTCTTCTGGTAACTTTTATGAGTGCATTTTAATTTTTACAGAAAAGGTCTTAAGCTGTAAACCCCTTGGTGACAACAGATTAAACTGGTCGTTCTTCTCTTGGGAGTAGAATGGGCTGCCTAATTATCTTAACAACATCCCAAATCGGAATATACTTTCCTTTATAGCCTCATGAGCCTTCTAGCACTCTCATTTTGATCAAGAACATTGTATTCTGGATGAGCTCTGCAGGACATACAGTAGCTACATAGTTCATTGGGTGGTCACAAACTTGGCTACAGAATCACTCACCATGAAGACGAAACTTTAAATGACAAAGCAGGGAGGCAATGGTACACTGTATCTTTCCCTTTAATCCTAAAGTTATCAGGTATAAAGGTATATAGTTTGGACCTGCCACTGTGCTGCTTTCTGATGAAAACACTTATGGTTCACTGAGGCCTAGAAAGGAAACAAATTTAGTAGGGTTGGTAGGAGAGTATCACCTTGGACCTTTCACAGATAAGTTACTCAAATCCTTTCAAATATTTCAAAATTTAGATTTCTATTTGGTATATCCCTATATTCACTTCATATGCTGTAGAATAACACTAATTTCAACTTAAGATGGATTTTATGCTTTTTTTGCTAAATGAAAAGTTGGGCTTATTAAGGTTTCATGGATCTTTCCTAAAGTTCAATAAAGGAGAGAGAAATTATGCAACAAATTTTATTTAGCAGTCCCAACATTCAGCACAAAAAGTTTACAGAGGATAGAAAGTGCATTAATAAAAGCCAGTCTTTACCAAAAGAAAACAGAAAATATATTATTGATTCAAAATATTTTACACTTGAATGATAAACTGCAATAACTTATTCTGGGCACCTACTGATAAGAGAAAGGAAGAGAAGAAAAGAATACTTTAAGAAGAGCTCAACTTCCAGCTGGTATCAGAGAAGTCAGTAGAGGTCACTGAGACCGGCAGTCTTTCTTGCTTTTTGCATTAGTGCCCTCAGCTGGAACTGTTTACGGGACAGAAGACGTACATGCTGGGAGGGGAAAAAAGTTTGAATAGTTTAGAATGGCTTTGATTTAGGCCCAGTCATAAAATATCAGACAATTTGTAACCTAGATAGGATCTAAGAACCCTAACTCAACCTGTCAACCTTTGGAATGAATACCTCATTACATGTGGCTTTTAAACTTCATATTATAAAGGCTTACTCAACAGGGAAAGCATTACATTGCAGGATCTGGCTCAGGAGTTTGACTTACACTTTCTTTTCCTAAGCCATGCCACTCAAGAGATTGTACAGAAAGAGAGTCCTTTCTTGGGTCTCTGGTTTACATCCAGCCATTCTTGTGGTTATACCACTTCTGAGGCACATGGTTTGGCCATTCCCCCACAGTGAGGAGATAGGCAAGATCAGCACATGACCTGACCTGGCTCCAGCTGCAGCTGGATCAGATATCCCAAGGGTGGCTGCTATTATTCCTAAAACCATGTTCTCCATGACCCAAGAGACAGCAGAGCCCAAACTTCGCTTACTAGATTTTCCTCTGTACAACAGCATTAAGCTTGAGACAACTTTCATTCAAGAGGGCTTGAAAGGACAGCCTGATACCTTGAAGGGCTGTCTGATGTGGGAAAACTGGTCTAAAGTTATATAACTCTAAGAAAATTAACAGATAAAAAATGGAGGTGGCACAATCAGTGATCTCAGGTGGTATGACCTCAAAGAACCAATGGAAATCTGATCGTGCCTCCTGATCCACCCAGGCACAGAATTACACTCATCTTAATGCTGCCTGGTGGACAGAGAACTGCAGCCACCAGCCCACTTTTCTTCCCCTGCTCAGATCAATCCTCAGTACTCTGTAGGTAAAAAGATGGCACAAAACCCTACATCTCATTTGCTGTCTTTTGGGAAGATAAAGAATCTTAATTCATACTACAGAGAAACTCTTGGTTTGTGGTTTGCAAGGTCAGGGCCTCTACAGCCCAAGTTAAAAAATCTTGGAAAGTAAAATGAAGACATACCTTCAGGAAGACATCCAGGTCTATCACTCCCCTTCTCAAGGCTTCTCCCAAGTAAAAGATAGTGTCTTCAATAGCGTTTTCTTCTGCATACAAATTCAGGATCTGTTTGTATAAGGGAGCTGTGGGAATGATAACTTCATCGATATCATTGTTTTCAGACTGATTTTCCATTTTCTCCAGAGCAGAACTGAGTTCTTCATCCTTCTTTTTCAAAAGTTCTATGTTTTTATCAACCTCGGCCTGAAAACAGAACAGTCCAAGCATTATTAATTGTACATAATTATCCACTTATTAGACATCTACAACACTTCACAGAAAAAGGTGGGCTAATAACCATGTTTAAATAACTCATGGATGAGAATCATGTTTCAAATAGCACCCTGGTCAAAGGTAGAGGAAAAGATGTGATCTATGCTGAGTGAAATACAGTAATGATGGAGATATCCTGAGCTGACCACTTTCAGCGACGGTAACAAGCTTGTCACTTGTCAGTGACAAATGATCCTGCAAACTAAGCCGTCAGACAAGATACTTTCCAGCAGAAGGTTCCTTCACATAGAAAATCATAAGAGGTTTTTCTTCTCAGCAAGTAGACATCTGCCATAGGAGAGTAACTTTCCCGTCTATGAAGAGGATTCAATGCATAGAGGCCCAAATGTCTGTATTCTAATCACAAAGTATCACACGCAGGTGATAGCCGTAGGCTCTGAGCTGTATTGGTGTCACTTTCCTGAATTCTAAAAATTGGCTACTTCGAAGCTCATTTTATAATCTGGAACCACTTTGTAAGGCTAATGGGTACACACAAATCACTTTCCACAGCGCCCTCAACCTTCTAAGAATTCTTGACTCTTCCATCAAAAAGGCACATTTACTGGAATAAATTCTCCTTCATGGGGATGAAAATGGAGCATGAAATTGGCATTTCAATTATGCTGATGCCTCCACTTTATCATCATTAAGCAAAGCCACAGGGCTGACTTACACATGGACTCTCCAAGGCACAGCTGTCTGTTATAAATATGAGAAAGCTTAAAGAGCTGAAGGTTGCATATGCTATGTTTATATGTAGCTCTTTAGCCAACCAAGTATCTCTGGATTATTGTGAAAGTTCCCCGAACATACTTTTAAAGATGGCTCACACAACCTTTGGAAACAATAAAACAGTACTGTCCTTTTAAGTCTGCACCTAAGATGTAGAGAGCTTTATCATGGCTTAGAGCTCTCAACTTATTTCCTAGTAACTGGCAACATCAGCCACTCAAAACAGTCCTCCATTGGGTTAAAACATCATTTCCTAGGGCAAAGGTGTGTTATGGTCTGGCTGTGTCCCCACCTAAATCTCAACTTGAATTTTATCTCACAGAAAGGGACCTGTGAAGGGGCGGAGGCGGTAATGGAATCATGGGAGCCGGTCTTTCCTATGCTATTCTCATGATAGTGAATAAATCTCACAAGATCTGATGGGTTTATCAGAGGTTTCCACTTTTGCTTCCTCCTCATTTCCTCTTGCCACCACCATGTAAGAAGTGCCTTTTGGTTGGGTGTGGTGGCTCATGCCTATAATCCCAACACTTTGGGAGGCCAAGGTGGGCAGATCACTTGAGATCAGGAGTTCGCGACGAGCCTGGCCAACATGATGATACCCCGTCTCTACTAAAAAATACAAAACTTAGCCAGGCATGGTGACAGGCACCTGTAATCCCAGCTACTCAGGAGGCTGAGGCAGGAGAAT